TGAACAACTTGAGGGTAAGTAAATGCTAATAGAATTGTCATTTTTGGGTGAAGTATTCCTTTAAATATTTTGGTACTGAAAGGTGCAGTCTCATTTTGGCCAAAAAATTACTATTGCAAATAGTGCTGATGTATGACGTCACTTTCAAACCAAGCAGCTTTCTTTTGGTCAGTGAGGCAAATTCCCATGACCAACTTGAACCTGTTGCAAAATCTGTGTGGGAAAATCTTTAGTGAAATTCACAATTGTGTGGATTTCTGTTAAAATGAATTTGTCTGCAAACATTCGGTACAAATGTGAACAATGGTACATGTGACAGTGCCTAAACATGTCCTGCACTGTCAGCATTGATAAGCAAATTGTGTGATTTATCTGCACTATTCTTCACTATTTTTTGCCTACACTGATACAAATAATTTTGTGGTGAAGTAAATACTACATAAAAACCTTCAGCCACTGTCGGCCACTGTGTTACAATGAACGGCTTTGTCGCTAGATGAAAAGATTGCAATGTTTGTGATTGTGTTAGCTCTTTTCTATTATTATTATTTTCTATTATTACCTGTTCATTTGGGTAATAATTTTATTGAGGGGACATAATATATTATATTCAAATAACAACAAGCTAGCTACTTGCTTATGTACATGTTTGCAAATAAACCATATGCTTTAATAGCATGGTTTTTTTAACTGTAACTGAGGGAAATGTGCTTGAGTATTGCATATTTAACAAAATAATTAAGTAGAAATTACTCATCAAACTCTTAACTGGCCATGTTAAATTTACTTATATCCTTTGCTAAATTTACCTAGCTTAGTTGAGTATATTTTACTTAATTCAATAATTAAATTTTACTTAAAATGTATGTGTGCAAAAACTTGCAAAATAAAAATTAAGTAAATCTACTTATTGTTTTTTTCAGTGTAGTAGTGTGAGCATTGCGTTAACACTGAAAAATAGGCTTAGTGCACTATTATGTATCCGGATGACGTACTAAAAAAACAACATTTTGAATGTTGGACAGTGCACTCCATACACTCAACAGTCATAGCTTTCAGTTAATAGTAGAAGAGTAGAGGCGAAATATGCTAATGAGGCTGACTAGAAAATGTTGAATGCTTGTTCAGTTTGAGATGATGCTACTCTTCTCCACTTCATACACTAGATTCATACATAGCGTGTAGCATAAGTACACAGTGTATAGTTGAAGCAAAACTCTGCAGGGCTGCGGCTCTCCAGGACCGACGTTCGCCAACCCTGGTATAGTACATAATTTAGGACATCAAATCTGTGTCAGCAGGTTTTCTGAACAGCAAGAAACTACATGGAATCCAGTTCTTAAAATTGTTATCCAGATGTGGTTTTAAATCTGATTAAATCTGAAATGCATTTCAGTTTAAATGTTAAGATTTGATTGCCAGGAAGATTTTTTCTTCGTTCAGGATGCAACCTGTTTGTTAATGTCATACAAATATCATCTGTGTATTTATGTCCAACACTCTTTTCAGTTTCAGTCACTTTTTCCTCATATAGGGAACTATAATGCATTCACTGTGTAGTAAACAGTTTCTTGAGCACCAAGAAAATAAGCACATTAGGATCATGTGAAACAGAAAACTGGAGTAATTGCTGTTGAACAAATTACTTTGTCATGGGATGTAGTTTGTCCTCATAAAATACATTTTAAAATATATATAAATAGAAAACTTATTTTTATAAACTGTAATAATATTTTACAATACGACTGCTGCGTTGGTGAGCATGATAGAATTCGTTTACCAAAAAAATAAAACCTTTAACAGTAGTGTTAGTGTATAAATCTAGCTTTTGTGTGTGTATTATATTATATTATATTATATTATATTACCAACGTTTAACTTTTGGTGTAGTTTTGCATAATCTTCTATTATTATTTATTTTGCTTCATTGCTTAATGAGCTAAATCCATTTGCCTGCCAAATCAAAGTCATGTAGTGCAACCACAAATAAATAAATAAAGAAATAAATACCTAAATACCTAAATAACAGGAAATTATATCATAGAGAGGACCCCTGAAGTCTCTTAAAATATGACATGGCAAGATTAGTTCAGATTGTAAAATGTCACACGGTCTGACCGTCCCCTCCCCCAACTTGTTTATTAATTAATTAATAATTTATGATATTTGCATTATTAAATATTGATTAATATATAGAATATAGTGAGCGATGAGTCAGAATGTTTTTCTATGTTGAGTTGAGTTATACTGAAATCAAAATATTCCTTTAAAGGGTCCCGATAACTCTGGTCTCTCTCTAGCTGTTGTCCTTTGAATTAGGTTAAGAAGTTTTCTCATGCTCCTCTGTGTAATGTTGTTTCTGCAGACCATTGTAATGTCTATTGATATCTAGCTTTTGTGTGTGTGTGTGTGTGTGTGTGTGTGTGTGTGTGTGTCTAAAAGAATGCATAGTGTTTTAGTGTGGTTTGCCAGTGTGAGATATTTTAAGTTTGTTTTTGTAACAGCGTGTCTAGAGAGCAATTGTTGATGCTCAGTTGGAGTTTATTTGAGCATCTCTCTCTCTCTCTCTTTCGTTCTCCACGTCTATTCATATCCTCCTCTTCAGTAACCCTCCCTCATGCGCTTCCAACTACTCAAGATTCCAGAGTGTGTAGCCGAGCCAATTAGTTCTGCGCTGCTGTGTGCATGGGTGTGTGTGTGTGTGTGGCAGGTTGGGTAATACTGATATACTGTATGCAGTGCAGCACCCTGGTGCTCTCCATACACAGGATGAGTCACAGGCTTGCAGTAAAGGCAGGGCTTTCCCTTGCTCTGAGCTGATGCTCAGATTTCATTCCCGTTTTTCCCAATATTATGCTTTTATCTTAAACCTTCTGTCTCACCAGAATTATCAACGTGAGACATTAATCCAGCCACATCACATTCGCACTATTGCAGACCATGACCTCTGCTGAATGAGTACTTGCTTTGTATGCTTGATGTTTAAAGAATGTTTTGGGATCAGTGTAAGTTCAGATCTAATGGCAGCTTCTGTCAATTAGCCTACCAGAAAATAATTTGACTGATGATCACGTAATTGATAAAATCAAACCGAATCACACTTGCAGTAATGGGCCAATGATGTTTATTTATTACTTTTTGTCATAAAGTCAAAAATATCAAACGACTGTCTTAATAAAACATTCTCAGAACTTCAAAAGTTTGGGAAAAAAGTTGCTTTTATATAGCAAGGATGCATTAAAAAGTAACAGTAAAGGCTTTTTTGATGTTACAATATTTCTATTTCAAAATCTTTTGAACTTTCTATTCATCAAAGATGAGAAAAAAAATAATAGTCAAGACAGCTGTTTTCAACATTGATAATAATATGAAATGTTTCTTGGGGAGCAAATCAGCATATTAAAATTATTTCTGAAGGATCATGTGACACTGAATACTGGAGTAATGGATGCTGAAAATTCAGAATTCAGCTTTGTCATTTAAAAATTTATTAAAATAGAAAACAGTTATTTTAAATTGTTAGATTGTTATTTTAAATTGTCAAATATATATACATTTAAATGTGTGTGTGTGTAT